TTTTTGAACGAAGTTTTGAACACTGCACTTTAAGTATGATACTAAGTGTAGGATTTGTTTGTACTTCGCAACTCTTGTCCGGAGTGCAGTTCGAAACTAACCGCCCAAACTGCAGTTAAACTGTGCGGATTCCGAAAAAACTGTAGTTTTTCTGAAGTAAAACTGCGACTTAACTACAGAAAAAGTATAGAAATCTGCATTTAAACTGTGGTCTAACTACAGGCTACAGCTGTACATTTTATACATTCTGACAATATTTTAATAAACGTTAACATATGTAGTCCTAACACAATTTGACCTGATTTTGTACACACTTTAAATGCATTTGTGAATGTGATCCGTGTACAGTGCGCCATTACAGTTAGAAGTACACATCCTTCCACCCGGGAAACCAAAGAGCGAACACTGCGGGCACTACGCGGACTCACCGACGGTGAAAAGAATCATTTTCTTCTTTTCGTGTTTTCCCCTCCCCGTCGAATTATAATGTCCACAGTCTCTAGGGGGAATCACGAGGGTGGACGCGCGCTCACGGCCGAATACCATCACCGCGAACATCCCCCCCCTCCCTCCTCACCATGAATCCCCTCTCTCTAGGAGGGTCTCTCCATGTCCACGTGGAGGAGAGGAGTGGGGCTGAGCGGGGCTGCATATGGGGCACTTCATCTTGCGGCAGGACAAGCAGGCCGACCCTCTGCCCCCGAGCACGAGGGAGGGGGGAGGGGGTTGGGGGTTGGAGGAGCAACGGGACCTCTCTCTCTCTCTCTCTCTCTCTCTCTCTCTCTCTCTCTATGCGTTTAGAATGCCGCCCCTCTATCGGCCACAGAGTGGCGCGGTGGCAACGTCGTTGTCGCCAGTGATAGGATGGGCGAGGAGCACGGTGGGGTCACCCGGCGAAGGGCACCATGTAGGAGCGCACAGCTAGGAATTTATTCGGGTGAAAAATTGGAGAAACTGAAATATTTCGAGAAAAATTTGAAAAAAAAAACAACAAGAAAAATCTTTTCATTGATACATTTTAAAAAACCTGGCAAATTGTCCCAAAATCACTTTCCTGCCAAATTAAAATCCCTACTCACCACATCAGCCGACCCTCAAAGGAACGTTGTCTTGTCGGGGCTTGACCTTGTTTCTGTTTCTGTTCGCAGAGGTGCTCAACGACGCCGTGTTCGATGAGGATCACGACGAGATGGTGGTCGTCAAGGACATTGAGATGTTCTCCATGTGCGAGCATCACCTGGTGCCCTTCTACGGCAAGGTGTCCATCGGCTACCTGCCCCAGAAGAAGATCCTGGGTCTCAGCAAGCTGGCCAGGATCGTGGAGATCTACAGCAGGCGACTCCAGGTGCAGGAGCGTCTCACCAAGCAGATCGCCATCGCCGTGACCAAGGCCGTCCAGCCTGCCGGTGTGGCCGTCGTTGTAGAGGGAGTGTGAGTATCTGAATTGTCTAGTGCCTCGGAACCGCGTTTAGTTCTTTCAAACTGTTTATAGTACATCTGAACTAACTCATAATTCGATTTCTGACCATGATCCCATCTTTCATTTACAGGCACATGTGCATGGTGATGCGTGGTGTGCAGAAGATCAACAGCAAGACAGTCACCTCCACCATGCTGGGCGTCTTCAGGGACGACCCCAAGACCCGCGAGGAGTTCCTCAACCTGGTGCACTCCAAGTAGAGCGTTCTTGGACTAGTTGGACTCAACCCGCCCCTCCCCTTCGTCGCCTTGCCTCTTCGCAGCGGTTGGGGCGGAGACACTCTGGCACTTCGCGTTTGACTGTTTCTTTCTTGTTTTATTGTGTTCATTGCTAGGCACTTTGTGATTGTGAGAGAAACGGTGAGCGGTTTTGATTTTGCGATCTTCCCCGTGCTGGGCGGGGACCCTTTTCTCTCCTGCCTTTTAAAGTAACAATAGATTATCTTATTTTGTGTGTAATTATTATAACTGTGCACATTACTTTTGTTCAACTTTCTCTCGTGATAGGAGCTTTCCTTGCTGTTTGTAAAGTATTTCAAAGTACCCCCATACTGTCCCTGCCCATGGATTGTTTGTGTTGTCCTGTGTTCAAATAAGCGCCATCAGTATTTTATTGTGTTAGCCGTGTTTAACATAGTGTAAATGTGTTTGCAAGCTTCCTATCCGTTACCATTTTGTTCCCTTCATTAACTCCTGTGAGAAAGTTGATTATTTTTGTGTTCATTCTTTGTGTTATTATCAGCTTATTGCATAGTATTTGCTATGCATAAATTTAAGGTAACAGATGTTGATGAGCTTTGGTTGGCCTTCTGGGCTAGAAAGTGCATGTATGTGCCATAAGATTTACATTTGTTGCTGGCAACAACCGAAGAAAAATGCTATTTTTGGAAGTTTTTAAAGTCTCTGGAAATGCAACCTTAAAAAATGGAGAGTTGATAGGTGTTTTGATTCCACTTCCCAAATTTCAAACTATCTGCTTCTGTACAACACTAGTTAGTTCTAAACAAATTTTAATCTCTCTTATACCCTTGCTAGCTTAAAAGTCCCAGTAGTTGGTATCTAAAAACAAACAATAAAAAACACTGTGGAATGACCTGTGATGCACCATAGAGCAAGAAATGTCTTTTGAGAGTGAGCGGGACCATATGCGCTAACTTAGTATTTCCCAGTGAGTTTTCTTTTGCAGCTAGATATGTAAACTCGCTTATTTTACCTTTAGAATAAGTAGTTTTAAGATATGTCTTATTGTTAAATTCCAAGATTTGGAATGTTTTTGTATGTGAATTTTAAAAAAAGGACGAAGATCCATCTTGAATAACTATGCTTCTTTCATTCCATAAATAAGGCATAACTAAAAGCACTTTGGCATTCAGTTTGACAATAAGATGACAGCTTTATACGTTTAAAAACTATACTCTTGACAATATTGATTCTGAAAGCCTTACATAATACAACAATGAAGAAAGCTGAAGAATTTTGAAATGTTTAAAAAGATAAAGTTGTTGGTTGTTATAAGATTTTAAATTGATTTTAAGGACCATACACTACTTGTTTGGTCTCATATCTTGCCTGTTTACAAATTCAGATTATTTTATTGAATAAAGTATATTTATGAGAACACTTGTGGTGGCCTCAAGTCTTAATTCGAAATGATGTGATGTGGACTTCCCCCGCACTTCTTCGGTGCAAAAACCTCCCCGCTTTGAAGTTCTACCCGATCATGATCTGAGTTCCCACGGGCACACCAGCCACGCCTGTAGGCATGTAAAACCTAAAAGACAAAAATAAAAAAAATAAAAAACAGTTAACCCGACGAGCGACAGGGGGTAAATAGTGACGTCCCTGTTTGTAGCTACACGATTGTAGCTACAGCCGACAGTGCCCGAGTCAGCTTAAACTGAACCGTCTATAAACGAATTCATTACTTCCGCCAAATGCTAGAATATCAGCCAGAAGTAAACAGCGCCAAGAACTAAGCGAAAGCGAAAGATATCAATGCCTCTCCGAAGCTGTCGCCTTGTCCAAGAAGCGCTCGGAGGGACAGGGGGGCCGCGGGCGCGGGGGCCCGCGGCAGGAAAGCATTGCCTACCCTCCAGGCGTTTTCAGCGACAATCATCGACCCACGCCCAGATCGACACGGCGTCACTTCTTAGGTTTAGAAAGGATTAATGAGCCTGGGGTCAAAACGAGCCTAAACCCAAAGTCTCCGTCACGACAGACGCCTTAGAGAGAAGCCGTGGCCTACCTCGCAGGCGTCCAAGCGACAACTCGTGTCGCGGCGACAAGTGGTAGTAGACACGTCCCTGTTCATGGACACAAAAATGTGGTCACAAATGGGGCAACATACGATGTCCGACACCACCAGCCACACACCCCTTTTGTAGTTAAACAGTTGTAGCTACAGTCGACATGACCGCATGCAGCTTCATCCGAACCAAAATTGTCGGCTCTAAGATCAACTCCCGGGCGGGGCAATTTTTTCTTTGTCGCTTTTTGTCTCCCGTTAGGCAGGACCGAGATCAGACCTCAGCCTCGGAGGAGCAAGCTGGTGGCCGAGCGTGTTAAAGCGTGGTCGTTGGCAGCTCGTGCGAATGGTCGGTAGTTCGAATCCCGTTCGCGATCATTTTTCCTGCTCTGCTGGCCAAGTGTCTTCGGGCGTCAGTCACAGCTGAGATCTGGATGCCGCCGAAAGTTGTACTCTGTATCGTTCCGTCGTAGCCAAGTCGGTAGCGTCCGGGCCC